TCCTCCCCTCCTCTCGCCTCCCGATCGCCCCGCCCGACAACGCTGCGGAGCTTCGTCGCATTCAGCCAAATAGGAAAGCATTTACAATGCTTTCCTATGACGCTAGTGCTCTCACTGTGATCACAGTGAGAAACGCAGCTTAAGTGGCTGTCAATGAGACAGCCACTAGAGGATTAGGGGGAAGGCTTAACCCATTCATAATTATAGCAGTTTCTCTGAAACTGCTATAATTATGAAAAAATGGGTTAAGCCTAGAAGGACCTGGCACCCAGACCACTTCATTAAGCTGAAGTGGTCTGGGTGCCTAGAGTGGTCCTTTAATGTGTCTGAGTGGAAAACATAGAGCGATGGATTTAGGTACCTAACATGCAATCTTAACAATCCGAAAATAGATCCATAATAGACTTGTGTATTTGGATGCAGGTGAATAGCGATTTAGCCCAATTTTGGCCAATCACTTGTTCAACTGAATTCTGCATCTCTGAAACACCATGCAAACGTGTACCCGAGCAAACGACAAGCGCGATCGCTAAATGTTCTGTATTCAGCATTCCGCCCGTGATGCTAAAAAAAGAGATTGATGGGGAAAAAAGTCTAGTCCATAACTTCCATATTTAATGTGAAGATTTACAACCCTAAAAGGTATACTCGACAAGGAGACTTATGGCCTACAGACAAATTTGGACAAAGAGATGTAGGTAGCTAACAAGCTAATTAATCACAAAGAGTGCAGGACTATAACAGGTATACTTAGAAAAAAAATACTAAGACCTCAGAAGTACAGGGAAATTTGGGTGCCTAATCTAAAGCTGGGCTCTCATGATATAGTGAGGAGTTTTTAAGTACCTTTTAAGCAGGGGTTGTCAAACTCTGGCCTCCAAGATACCGACAAACTATAACTCCCATAATCCTCTGACAATCTATATCATTCAAGTAATTTTGGTTGTTTGTGCTTTAGAACCCTGGTTTAAGTAGAAAAGATGCATCTGCTGCTCTGTAAATTGAACCTGAATACAGGAGACTCCTGCAGGTTCTAGCTAGCAAGCTATTGATAAAGCAGGAGATATGCAATTATAAATTAAACATACAAAAAGTGCAATAAAGGAAGTATAAACATTAGATCTCATTTTACAGGAAATATTTAGGAAGGTTGTGCAAGCCACATGCATTGAGGTGTGGCTTATTGTGCTTAAACAAAGTGATTTAACTCCTAAATGGCAGAGAATTGAGCAGTGTGACTGCAGGGGCATGAACCATATACCAAAACTGAGCATTAAACCTCACGTTGAGTGACTGGCTTGGCTCTTTAACTCTCCCCTTTCCTCTTACACGTTGAAATCCCAAGCAGTGCAGCAATCCTCCCTATTGTGTTGCTGCCTGCCCGGGATCCTTATTCAGTATGGTTGGAGTATGGGTCAGAAAATACTTCAAATCAACTGTTCTTTCCTTGATTGTGTAGTTCAGTTTTTGGTTCATTTAAATTTATTGTTGTTTTTGTCAATAAACGTCTGCCTGTCAGTCTTGTCCAGGACTCTTCATTGATGTCTGAGAGAATGTTGCGTGTCTCTTTATGAATGTCGGTGTCTGGCCAGAGATGATTTTCTCTCCTCTCACTGACATTAGCTGACAGATGTTGGTCACATAGTATATACCGCATACTTATAGCTGCCCAAAAAGAATCTGTTCTTCACAAGCTTGTTTGATAATGTCTTTTATGTCAACTGCAGCCTGAAGACAAACTAGAAACATTCTTGTAATGTTCCTTTTACTATCACTGGAAAAAATCTTTGTTTGCCCTTCTCAATGTAAATGGTTTTACGATTATATCTAGATGGTCCATATTGGACACATATCTGCCCTTTTTCAAGTTAAGATTTTGTAACTTTGGAATCCACCTCTGTTACCAGGACACAAGGGAGACTGTCCGCCATTCGTCTTCTTTGAAGTCATGTTTTTCACTTCATTAACGGTAATATGAAGAAAACTTTATGCCAACATACATACATCTATCTTCTTGTGTTCTCCTTAATATTATGGTATACCAGACCCTCAATGTTAATAACTTACTTGGGTTCCTACACCACCAAATTCGAATAGTGGTTCGGTGACTCAATAAATACAAACCAATAGATCTTATAGATAGACCGATATTACCTCCATTCCCCCCCAACCTCCGGTTCATTTATTCACATGTAGAACTACGAATTAGGCAAGTGAGGCGTCATCTATACTTATTCAATTGGTTACTCTAAAACACGCTGTCACAGCGGTTGAGTCTCTGCACCCAAAAGCTAACGTACACAATTCCTAACTCATTGTCAGGTACGAAGGAAAGTCCCAAGGCATACCTTACCCTCATAGAGCCTTAACCCTACACGCAACCTCTAACCAAGGGTAGACTAGTCTAGCTAGGATATTGCTCCCTATGTTGAACCATTATTGTTTTTTCTTTCTTAACAAAAAAATTCAAACTGTTTACTTACCCGTCTAGTTCATCAGAGGAACGGTTAAGCTTCAACACTTAAAAGTAGAAGAGAGGGCCACAGACATACCGCACATGACCAAGGCTTTAAACCACTAAAAATATATATATATAGCCTCGTACCTAGGGTAGACAAGTCCAGCTGTGATGTTGCTCCTTATGTTGTATCAACGCTATTATCTTTTTTTCTCGCACACAAAAAAAACCAAAATCGTACCACAGAGCACTTTGCTAGCTTGGATACTTGATGTACCGTAATTCTCGATGTAATATCAGCAATATGTTGTATAATGCACTTGACCATGACTATGCTTAACTGTGGTTTGAATCAAAAATAAAGAATGTTACAAACAGTTACATAGTTACATAGCTGAAAAGAGACTTGCGTCCATCAAGTTCAGCCTTCCTCACATTTGTTTTATTTGCTGTTGATCCAAAAGAAGGCAAAAAAACCCCAGTCTGAAGCGCTTCCAATTTTGCAACAAGCTAGGAAAAAAATTCCTTCTTGACCCCAGAATGGCAGTCAGATTTATCCTTGGATCAAGCAGTTATTACCCTACATTGAAAGATTATACCCTTGAATATTCTGTTTTTGCAAGTATGCATCTAGTAGCTGTTTGAACATCTGTATGGACTCTGATAAAACCACTTCTTCAGGCAGAGAATTCCACATCCTGATTGTTCTTACAGTAAAAAAAACCTTTCCTTTGCCTTTATGTACCATATGGCTTCATGTATTGTTGGTATTTGTGGGAAACTACATTCCAAAAAATACCTTTTAAATCCTTATATAAATGATCAGAAGCAGATTATTTGTCCATTTAATTTATATATTTTTTTCTCACACCCACACGAGACTACCTGATATTGGTAGTCTTGTGATATTGGTAGTCATTAATATTTCTGGCCTTGCGTGACATATTGCAAGATTAGCTCAGTGACAGCAGTGTTTCCAAGTGATTTCAATGTTGACTAGGAACATTTTGATAGAATTTCTTTTAATTCCATCTTTGATGATGGAATAATAATCACTGAGTTTCCTTATTTTATCAGTTTATTGTCCTGGACTTATACTTATCCCATGACTTGGTCTCCACCTGTCTCCAGGGGAGGGCTGGCAGCCTTAGGCCTGGGGGGCAAAACCAGTCAAGAGGCCCATTGCACCACCAAATCAGTGCAATGGTGCCCACCTTTTCCTGGATTTATAACGGATATTGATGTTATGCTAATCAGTAGCTCTTTGCCATACCCACTCCTTCACGGCTCTGACTTTCAATGTTGTCAGAGCCCAGGCTGAGAATCTCTGAGCCTGTGCTCTGACTCACTAACTGAGCGTCGGAACCATGAGGGAGAGGCTATAATCTGACTGCACCTACTGCTGGTGCGCACCAGTGGACCACCAGCGAATCGTTTAAATTGAATAGGCTGGTGTCCCCAACTTGTGAGCTGTGTTGTCCGCCGGGCGCCTCTGTTGTGATGGCACCCCGCGTGACCGCACAGCGTGCACACCCCAATGGCTGGCCCTGCTGACACACACTGATGTTACTACTTAGAAATCCCTCAATATTAATACAGACAGCAGAGTAAACACCAATAAACTGTTGAAACAGATCTGATCCCACCCAAATTTATAAAGATTTGCTTACTGGATTTGTTGTAAGATTAAATCATGCCTCCTCCCCTCTCTCTCCCATGCGCTGCTCTGTAAGCTGGGAGGAAGTGAAGAGTAATCACAATCTCTCAGCACAGTGGCACCTGTGGCTGCATGGGGAACAGCTGTATTTGCCGCCCTCCATGTGACATCACAATGCCCCACCTATATGAGCTGCCATACGAACTAACGCCAGTGCTGCTCACAGTGTGTGTTTACATTAAAAAGGCTGCAGGGACCGGCTATAGATACCAGAACCACTTCATTAAGCTCCAGTCGTTCTGGGGACTATAGTGTCCCTTTAATGTAATGAAAATTATAGATTAGTGTCACCAGGGGCGGACTGAGAGCCTTTGGGGCCCCCGGACAAAATTAGATCCCAGGCCCTTTGAAGGCCAAATATACGTGCATTAAATAAATGTTAAATATAACTCATAATACGGCATTCCTTTGGATGTGTATATTGTGAAGACCTGTGTATCAATGCATGTTTGTATTTGAGTCTGTGTGAATGTACTTGTGCATGTCTGGATGACTACATGTGCTTTTTGTATATAGTGTCTGTGTGAATGCATATGTGACAGGTGACAGAGTGTATGAGGGAGAAGGTGACAGGTGGAAGAGTGTGGGAGGTTGTGACAGGTGGCAGAGTGAGGGGGTACCTGGTGGCAGAGTGAGGGAAGGAGGGGTTGAGTGGGGGCAGAGTGAGGGGGAGACACAGTGAGTGGGGGTGACTGGTGACAGAGGGAGGGAGAGGGGGTGACTAGTGTCAGAGTTAGGGAATGGGTGACTAGTGGCAGAGTGGGGGAGGGAGGGAAGAGATGACTAGTGGCAAAGTGAGGGAGGGAAGAGGTGACTGGTGACAGAGGGAGGGAGTGACTGGTGACAGAGGGAGGGAGTGACTGGTGACAGAGGGAGGGAGTGACTAGTGACAGAGAGAGGGAAGGGGTGACTGTCACTAGTCACCCCCTCACTCTGTCACTAGTCACCCCCTCTGTCCCTAGTCACTCCCTTCCTCACTCTGTCACTAGTCACCCCATCCCTCTCTCTGTCACTAGTCACCCCATCCCTCTCTCTGTCACTAGTCACCCCATCCCTAACTCTGTCACTAGTCACCCCATCCCTAACTCTGTCACTGTGAAGGAAGGAAGGGGTGACTGGTGACAGAGTGAGGGGATGCCTGGTGACAGAGTGAGGGAAGGGATGACTAGTGGCAGAGTGAGGGAAGGAAGGGATGACTGGTGACAGAGTGAAGGAATGACTGGTGACAGAGTGAGAGAGGGGGTGACTAGTGAAAGAGTGAGAGGGGGTGACTAGTGACAGAGTGAGGGAGGGAGTGGGTGACTAGTGACAGAGTGAGGAAGAGGTGACACAGTGACAGAGTGAGGAAGGGGGTGACACAGTGACAGAGTGAAGGAGGTGGTGACTGTCACTAGTCACCCCATCCCTCCCTCTGTCACTAGTCACTCCCTCCCTCCCTCTGTCACTAGTCACTCCCTCCCTCACTCTGTCACTAGTCACTCCCTCCCTCTCTCTGTCACTAGTCACACCCTCCCTCACTCTGTCACTAGTCACACCCTCCCTCACTCTGTCACTAGAGTGAGGGGGTGACTAGTGGCAGAGTGAGGGAAGGAAGGGGTTACTAGTGACAGAGTGAGGGGATGACTGGTGACAAAGTGAGGGAGGGAGTGGGTGACCAGTGACAGAGGGAGGGAGGGAGTGGATGACCAGTGACAGATGGAGGGGGTGACACAGTGACAGAGTGAGGGAGGTGGTGACTGTCACTAGTCACCACCTCCCTCACTCTGTCCCTAGTCACCCCTCCCTCTGTCACTAGTCACCCCCTTCCTAACTCTGTCACTAGTCACCCCCTTCCTCACTCTGTCACTAGAGTGAGGGGGTGACTAGTGGCAGAGTGAGGGAATAAACGGGTGACTAGTGACAGAGTGAGGGAGGTGGTGACTGTCACTAGTCACCACCTCCCTCACTCTGTCACCACCTCCCTCACTCTGTCACTAGTCACCCCCTCCATCTCTTACTCTGTCACTAGTCACCCCCTCCCTCACTCGGTCACCAGTCATCCCCTCCCTCTGTCACCTGTCACGCCCTCACTCTAGTGACAGAGTGAGGGAGGGTGGGACTTGTGACAGAGAGAGGCAGGGGGTGACTAGTGACAGTAAGGAAGGGGATGACTAGTGAAAGAGTGAGAAAGGGGGTGACACAATGACAGAGTGAGGAAGGGGGTGACTAGTGACAGTGAAGGAGGTGGTGACTGTCACTAGTCACCTCATCCCTCCCTCTGTCACTAATCACAACCTCCCTCACTCTGTCACTAGTCACCCCCTCCCTCTCTCTGTCACTAGTCACACCGTCCCTCACTCTGTCACTAGAGTGAGGGGGTGACAGGTGACAGAGTGAGGGAAGGGGTGACTAGTGGCAGAGTGGGGGGATGACTGGTGACAGAG